AATTCAAATTTAAAATTTAAATACAAGTAAAATAAAAAAAAAGATAAGATACAAGAGGAGAGAGGCGATACAGAGGTGAGATGACGGTGTAAGGAGGTCACACCGTCACAGTATTGTAACTCAAAATATGTGAAATTCGAGATTATACTAATGCTGAACGTAAAATTTGATTCTCTACACGTCAATAAAAGCGTCATTACAATATTGTAAGAAATAATTGAAAAATATCTACTTAACTGAAAATGAGACGAAACTATTTGTAAGTATTTACGCAAATATCACTATGTAACTTTAACCGTGTAGATTTAAATATAAATTTACACGGTTAAAGTTAGTACACTATTGTATTAACGGTGCGATATACTACCTTGCCTTATTATCAGTAACATAATTATATTTCCAGTTTCTATAATGAACGGTGCATACGACGATCTGCGATGTGCAACGCGAGTGCACCGCGAGATATGCGAATGTGTACGCACGTAAACGGCGGGCACGCCAAGGAGTTGTGTGTGCACTCTGTGCTGCTATCATTGTTATATTAGGGTTGTTGCGAATATCGGCATCCACACCCGCATCCGCGGCCAATCTACATAAATCATAATATCCGCATCAACATCCGCAGTCATCGATGGTGATATTCATTGCGGATGTTCGAATCGTAACATGACCTAAAAGGCCCGCTGGAATAATTTACAAACCTTCCAGAAACAGACAGGCGTAAGGAAACCAAGCCACGCGGCTGTAGGTGGACTGTATTTAGGGCGCTAGTAATTCTTTGCATGTGCGAACCTGACTAAAATTATATTGAAGTACTCGCGCGTTCCTCCCTTCACTACGACGGCAGCGGCGCCGGTGTAAGTCTTCAACTGGGCAGGAAAATGGCAGTCTTGTTCGTCTTTTATTCTTTAATTCGTTCGTTGTATTACAATGATTTTCAGAGACACTGACTTCTGACGTCAACATCGACGACACCACGCAGCCAGTTCCGTTTCAGTCAGCACGCGGGGCATTCGATATCATTGTAGATTAAATAACACAGACAGAATACCGAACAGACTGTGTGGTTTTTAAAATAAAACTTTGATGAAATTCCACAACGATTGAGCTAGGCAGATTGATTGTTTTCATTGCGATGGATTCTTTTGTTTACGAATGTCACAAAATCATTGAAAGAATATTTTATTATAATACGGAAGAAAATAGAAAGCTAAAGAAAATAGAAAGCTTTTTCATGTAGATAGATTCAGTAAGGATGTTTTTTTAAAATATCTAAAATCAGGATCTGCGTCAGCATCCGCTGATATGTGACCTGCATCTGCAACAACCGGTTTGTATGTAGCTAACATACTTGTCTTTATTATACTTACACTGCTATATTGCGTTCACCCACAAAATGTCCATAGGGTTTACGTATTGCGTTCTCATCCATTCACGTTACTGACAGACTTTGAATGTCGTCTTTAACCATATTTGCCATTCAGTATTTAATGGAAGTGCACTTCACAATACACCCCGAAGTTTATTTACCTTTTTACGTTAATTTTAGAAATGAAACTGAAATGTTGGAAAATACTTACAGACGTAAGTGTTTGTATTTAGAAACAAGTAATTACATAGCAGTTATGATGATCCAATATTAATGAATTATAAAAAGTGCATCAATAGTTATTCTACGCATTTTACAATGTGGATATCTAATCTAACATGATGCTTGTAGCATGCAATACGCAACGAGTGTTATTGTCTCTTTATCTTTACTAGATTCATTGTTTGCTTAAAGAATGCTACAAACAAACGATTGATAATTAATGTGACAATACAAATAGCTGCAACAGCAAGTGCTATTAGATCGAGGTACATCTTCTTGTACCAAGACACATAGAGTGCAGGTGAGCGCAGATGTAGTGCGCCGCGGGTTTTTATTACATGCTCCACCCAATGCACTAACTCATCGCCCGATGCCACCGGTCGGTCATGATATACTGACGACAAATATTTAACTTTCTTGGTAAACCTACAAAAAAAAATGTTGTGTATGTTATTACCATACACAATAATACACATATTATCGTGTACTGTTATTGTTAGTTCTTACTTCTGATCCTTTAGCATTTCCTGAATAGCAACTTTCAAATCTTGAGTGACGTTATACGACAAATCCACCTTAATTCCAAATCCATTATTCGAAGCCCTGTTCGTATTTATGAACTGATCTAAGAAAATTGGTATTCCAATTATTGGGACACCATAGTGAACTGCTTCTATAAACGACAGTAAACCTCCATGTGTGATAAATATCAAGCAGTTTGGGTGCTCTGTAATAATTACGAATAATCAATTCACCTTATCAACACTTATAAAAGTTTTTCTTGCTTTAATTTAATAAGTACATCTTTTAAATTGATCACTAAGTTAAAATTAAAATGTAGTTATCGAATTTTTAGGTTTTCGCGATTGTTACACATGAAATGAAACTATTTTTTCGGAGTTAAATCGCGTAATTTGTTTTTTAAACAACCAACGTTTCGAGCCCTTTACATGTTCCATGGTCACAAATGTTAAAGGTTGAGTTTATTGGAAAAAACAAATATACGCGATTTCAATCCGGAAAAATAGTTTCATTTCCTATTAACAGGTAGTTCTTAAATTTTTGTGAATATAAATTTAAATTAGCAATGGAAATGATAAATTTTTTTGGATCTCTCAAATCGTCGCGTGTTTTTTTGATTGAGTAATTTGTTGTTGCTGTTGAATTAAGGAGTCTCGCCACACGACGCACTATTCCTTTCCGGTCTGTATGGCGCACCCAATGTCACTGCCAATCGGCGAGTACCTTACGCCGATTGGCAAATCCTGTCACCATAAACAATAAAAAGAAATTGACCGACTAATGTAGTGTTATTCTTTGAAAGGTAAAAACCATTACTACACCGAAGCCGAGACTCGAACCGAACGGGAAAGCAATTCTGAGATTGTCCGAATAACGCTGTATAGTAAAAAAATGGAAACTGCTATAAAAATAGCACCCTGTATATTAAAAGGAAAAAAATATAATATCTACAAATGTGATGACACCTAAACGGGAATGAGCGCCGAAAGAGTTGAGCCGAAGGGATGACTTATTTTACAATTTTCACAAGATTATGTGACGTTTTGAAATTTTGAAAACGGACGAATATGGAGAAAGTATGGTAACCATACGACCTACTTTTATTTAGAAGTAACGGGAGACGACACAGAAATTAGCGATAACAGTACTAAAACTAAATGGTACAAAAACAAGGAATTATATAAAAAGGGGGTCAAGAGATAGTAGAAAGTATCGTTCGCACCAGACTAAAGTATAAAGAAAGGGTTCACTGTGACGATGTCCGTGATGCACACTTATCACACCGTATTGCGTACGCGAGTCGCTTCACGGTCTTGTCGTGGCCTAATGTGTCTCTGCCGCCTCTTTTTAAATAACTAGCATGATGGGCCACTAGGTTAGCTCCAATGTAGGTCTTGTACAAGGTATATGTACGTATCTTATTGTGATTAGCGATAGGTTCGGTTTTTCAATCCTTCCCAGCACCTAAACAAAAATCCGCCTATCCTCTTGTCATCATTTTCAAAACTAACGTTTTTCCAAATTCTTTTAAAAAATTTACCGAGCGCAACCGGGTCGCAAGCTCAATCATCTAGAAGAGATCTTTTTGCGTGAGAAATGAAAATGACTATGCCATGACTACAGAAGTCCAAAAACTAATATACGCGATTGCAGGTCCAAAAAAATTGTTTCATAATTTCAATGCTTTATTAGTTTTATGAGTTTTATACCTACCCAAAATACTTGGCTGCGGTGCCCACTTTACCACATATACATTTTTGGGCAAGATTTTTAAATCATCGTCCTCATATTTCCATATCACAGTTTGTTTCAACTCTCCGAACATTATGACTAGGCCTTCCTTTATTGGTTTTGGTATATCTTTACTTTTCCAAACTGATCCCAGACTGAAATATATGACACCTTCTTTAGCGTTGTCCATTAAATTTTGTAAGTCCTAAAATGAGTAAATATTGAATTACTGAGTATTTTTAATTATAATATTTAAATAAAAGGAATTATTATTATTAATACCTTTGGTAACGGTTTTGTGGGTCTGTCTATGTGCTGCCCTCCTACGAGCTTAAAGTTTTGCGGTAAGCTAGGAATGTTGCCGGAAGCGTGATGTTCATTGGCAAAAATTATAGAAGCATTGTACATCAATTCCTTGTAAATTGGTAAACTCTTGCCACGTTGAGCCAAAATCGGTTCAAAAACTTTTCCAAATACAGCTTCTGCTTTAGGTCCTGTAATAATCCTGCAATATACCTAGTCACAAGTTTTCGACATTTTTTGTGTACCAAAAACCATTCATATATTTTATTTCAGCAATTTCAGCAATTTCATTCTATTAACTACTTACTCCTTAATGTAATTTCCTTTGATTTGTGTCCACAATTCTTGCAAACGTTGTCCAAAATTGAATGGAGGTACGTTGGCCGACAAATAATCTGCTGTATAGGCAGGATTTGTAAATTCATCGATAAGCTGCAACGTGGACCACTGGGCACCCATTGAGAAACTCCAAATCATCGGACAGTTATATAAAAATGACAGACTGCCAAAGAAAACAACAAATGTAACAAGAATTACGTACTGGATTTGATACGTATAACGTTAAATAAACACATTTTAAATTTCTCACCCGCTATAGATTTCGCTTTCGTACAGATCAGCTATAACGACATCGAATTTTTCGTAGGGGTCATTCAAGAGTTTTTTGAAATCGTCATCTTGGAACGCCGCATCTGCTACAGCTATTGCATACTCATGCATTTCTTGGATGTTCGTCCCACTAGAGGAAATGTCATTTTTCTCCATCATACTTGTTATGTTCATGTAACCATCCGCTATAAAATAAACTTGTTAGAAACTTCGACTAGGGCATGCAAACCGGTTACTCGGTTAACAGAAAACACCAAGTAACCGTCCATTTTGGAACCCGGTTTTCGGCTAAGGCGGTTTCCCTTATTTTCCTATTATTATTTTTAGAAGTTTTCCGTAGAAAACTAGGGTTAGAGTTTTTCGGGATTTTTGTCTTAAAACTATTACAACATAAACTCGTAACTCATAATATCATCGTATCGTTATTAATAATGATAAATAAACGCTAACTACAGTGCAGCGACAGCATCCGCAAGATGGGTACGCGAACAGTGTAGCAACAACAACTTCTAAAAAATCTTTCTGTTTAATTTTTCGTTCCTGAGCAGTGTCGCGGTTTTAGCGACTTAATTGCTAGATTCAGATAATTTTACCAATGTTTAGCAAGCTGAAATTGGATTTATCGGGAATTAAAATTTATAGACAAAGCATACAAAGCTTTTTTTCTGTTTGTTCATAAAATTAAGCAACACTTATACTCGTATGTATGATTTTTCAATCCTAACGCTGGTAACACAAAATCAGGCTGGAAAAGAAGATGTTTAATTGCTTGTAGAGACAAGTCATTAAATATGTATATTTAGAGAAATATGCTTATTTATTTTAGAAATTATCTGCCTCCGTGGCCGAACGGTTACCATACCGGACTGCCACGCAGAGGTCCCAGGTTCGATTCCCGGGCCGGGAGAAATATTTGTATGGCCTACAATTATTTCTCTCGTGAGTTTGGGTGTAATTTGTGGTTGTCTATGTGTGTGTCCATGGCACCCGCGACACAGGGTTTCCCTAGTGCGGGGCTATGTTGAGTGTGTGCGTTAAAAAAAAAAAAAGAATATTGGCGTTGTTGTTGGTTTGTTTTTTATTATAATTTGAGAAGTTGATGGATTTCATTGAAGCTGTAAATTCCATGAATAATAAAAATAATGTACAAAACAGTGATTTGATATTTGTTTTAGTTTTCTGACACTTTTAAAGAATTATTTGGGTGACAACAGAAACTATCCGAAAAAACCGAATAACCGGGTAACCGTAAATTAACAACCGAATAAAATGGATTTCAAAAACATTTTGTTTTTTGCATGCCCTACGCACGACAACATGACAGTTAATAAATGTCATTTCCTGAACTTTCAATAACTCTATTCCAAATTATAGGTAGGTTATTAATAATTAAAATTTTATTCTGGTTGACTACAAAATTCAAAAACATTTTGTATTAATAATTAATACAAAATGTTTATTTTTGTAAACTGTAATTGTATATTGTTCTCTTTTTAGAAACGGTTATGGTATTACCGCATTAAATACTGAAAAAACCTTTTTCTTAAATTATATCCTATTTCGTTATTATTTAAATTATATACAGCACATGTCCTTAGTATATGTCTAGTAAGGCTATATGTACTTACTCGAAAATTTACCTAGCTCAAGGATAAACTAGCAAACAAAATTACAACTTAAACGACAGTAAAATTACCTGTAAGGTGTCGAACACTTTTGAAAATGTCAATCTGCCGAAATTTCATTTCTAACTCGCTTTTGATGGGGTAGGCAGTGACGAATGTTACCTGAAATACAATAAAAACTCAACTTTATTTTCAAAACCAAATACAAATCGAGATACCACACCGAGATTACGATGGATATTGTGTAGAGTACTTGTGTCGCCTTTGGGACGGATCTGCCAGTTGTCAACTGGACGATCTGGCTACTGGAACACCCGAGTTGAAAGACTCGTTGGCAACTACTTCTTGGGGTTGGCAAACTTTCGAAGTATCGATATATAACATGAGTATTTTATACGATACAATATTATATTCAGTGAGGATGAATAAATAACATTGAGGAAGCTGATACTTGTAGCTCTTAAGGAGAGAAAAAACGTATGAGTACGCAAGATGATATTCAACACAAGACGATATAATCTCAGTACAGAGTACTAAAAAAACCGACCTCAAAAGTTCGTGGATTTACATATATTTGCCAATATTTAAATCGGTTATCGGAAAGTGCGCAAACCCGGGTTCATCCCGACTTCGGTCTAGGATCATGTACGGGACTTAACACAGGAGATAATAAAAATCTGTTCTCACTGCTTAAAGAACATATATCGAGAGAGAAAAACGCCTTGAATTGGAGAATAGCAAAATCAACCATTAAAATAATAGGGGTTAAAGTATGAAATTGCCGATTTGTACTGAAAATCTAAATTGTTTATATTTTAAATTTTTAACAAATTTATTTAATCAAAATAGTTGCCATTATTATCTATACATTGCTGCCATCGAATGGGAAGGTTATTAATGCCTTTGCGATAGAACTCCGACGATCTAGACTGCACAAACTGTGTGAAAGCATTTTGTACTGCCTCCTGGGAAGAAAACTTCTTGTCACGTAGATAATTGTCCAAATCACGAAAAAAATGGTAGTCCGTTGGAGCAAGGTCTGGTGAATACGGAGGATGACGAATGGTTTCTAACTGCAGTTCCTGAAGGGTCAAAATGGTTTCTCGTGCTGTGTGAGGTCTCGCGTTGTCGTGGAGCAATAATGGTGAAGATCGATTCATGAGTCGGGGCTGTTTTACTGCTAGTTTTGTCAACATGGTTCGGAGTTCGGCACAATAGACATCTGCCGTTATTGCTTGACCAGATCGGAGAAAACTATAGTGACCATTACCTTTTTATTGGTAAGTTTTGCTTTAGGACACTGTTGTGGCATTTGACCTGGGGTCAGCCATTGCATTTTTCTTTTCCGGTTATCATAAAGAATCCACTTTTCATCACATGTTACAATTCGATCCAATATTCCTTCATTTCTGTACCGGTTCAACAAGGCAACACAAGTTTCAACACGCGTTTCTTTCTGCAGATCAGTCAAATCATGAGGCACCCATTTTTCGTATTTTTTTATTTTATTGATTTGACGCAAGTGAGTCAATATTGTGGGTAAGGTAACGTTAAACCATGCCGCTAATTCCTGGGTAGTTTGACTAGGATCGGCTTCCACTATCTCTCTTAATTCATCGTTATTCACCTGTGTGGGCGGTCTTCCTCGTGCCTCGTTCTTTAAGTCGAAATTTCCATCACGAAAGCGTTTAAACCAAAATCGCACGGTGCGTTCATTAGTAGACCCCTCTCCAAACGCAGCATTGATATTGCGGGCTGTTTCTGCCGCGTTAGTTCCGCGTCGGAACTCGTATTCAAAAATCACTCGAATTTTCGCAGTATCCATCTTTCTTGTCTAAATTGAATAACAAAAACAATTGAAAGTCGATATTCAAATGTTTCAAATTTAAAAAAAAAATCACAGAAACCATTTGAAAAAAGTTTCATTCGAAAACCTCAAACCATGAAGATTCTATGAAAATTCAAAGAACCTATTGCAATAAAACGGCAATTTCATACTTTAACCCCTAATAATTGCTCCTTATAATAAAATTTAGGCGCTATTTATAAAAATGAATCAATAAATACTGTGGAAGTAGTTTATATTATGAAATGGCCGTAGATATCAATTGAATTCCTCTTTAATATAAAATATAAGTCGTCAGTTTTTTCCTTGGAGTAGTAATGTTCAAATATTGATCACGAACCAAAAATATTTTCTGAATTTTAACAAAATATATGCGTGTCAATAGATGGCATTGTGTGTTACAAACATCGAGTCTATACCCAAAAATAGAAACGAAATCAGGGCCATACATTCCTGGTAACTCATCAGTGATACATCACTTATAAATATCAACTCTCGTTTGCACTGAAATATAGCAGCGCCAACAACTGACCTGTGTGTACACCTCCGTATATTCCAAAAATATTCTGTATTTATTGTAATAAAGATAATATCTCTAACAATGGCGTGCTGTTCCATTCGGTGGTGTGGGGAAAAACAGCAAAACATCTAATTACAAAACAAACGGAATTAAATTTCATCGGTAATTAAATATTAAATATATAATTTTACAATTTTCGTCCATTATAGCAAAGCTCAAGTTAAATGGTCGATTTGAAGTGAAACAATAGACGACACCCATTGACGCAGTTGTCACAGTAATTATATGGCACAATAGTTTTCAAACAAATTAAATGACATTTCGTCTCTATTTCTGGTTATATACTCGATAGTTATAAATTAACGCTTCCCAATATAGGTAGCTCTCACTGATCGTAAACAACTTACAAGAATAGCCGGCACTGTACATAAAAATCTATGAAATAAGCGTCATCTAGTTGATTTGTTTGTTATCACAAGAAATTAGGGTAGCTTTGATAAATTGCATCTAATTTTTTTTTTTAATAAAAATATAAATGCGCATTTGACCTCCATCTCACCTGATGGAAAGTGACGATGAGGTCGACGATGTAGCATGCACACCTAAATAATGCCTATTCACTCTCATCGTGAAAAGGTCCGAGTTATAGCGTTCGGGGAACAAGTCTGCAGGCAGGGAATTCCACTCCCTAACCGCTCGCCATATAAATGTGGAAGCGAAACGCTTCGTGCGAATCCGGGGAACATCCACAACATAGAGGTGGAACCCCAGCTCACGTCAAGTCCCCTGTTAATGGAAAGGGGAAGGCGGAATCAAATTATGCAATTCCATCGCACACTCTCCGTGATATATCCGGTAGAGTACCGATAAGCTGGCAACTCTACGGCGGTGTTCAAGGCTCAGCAGCTTCGTTTCACCTAATTCCGAGTCACCTATAAGCCTCTTCCCACGCTGTCTATTGAATCAAAGGTGGCCAGTTGGTATTTAGCAGTGCCATCCCGTAAGTGGCAGTGGTACTCCATACACGACCGGACTTGTGCTTGCTACAGAGCTCGTCAATGTAAAACAAATTGGTTACAAAAATATCTATTTGGTACTCGTGCGTCATCTGGTGTACCAACGAGGTACTAAATACCTCTGACTACTCTGTCTTGTCCTCTTGAGTTTTGGTCCGTGACAAGACTCAATGCGAGATTTTATTCTTGCACAATATTTGCTTCTACGTTCATTATATTATGTGTGATAACTGTCAAAGTCAAAGATTATTTATTCCATAGGTAAAATAAATTTACACTTGAAAACGTCACATTTAAGCTACTGCTCGTTCACTACGCTGGCCTCCCTGAGAAGAACGAGCAAGAAACTCTAGGGATTGCTCTTTTCAAAAAAATAAATACTATGTAATACACTTTGAATCAAATTTGTGTGGATTCTGGAGCCATGTCGTCTTTCCATACATCTTTATCTAACACGTAGTCTTCAATTTTGTAATATGATTTTTCGATCAAAATATTTTGAATGTAGTTTTTAAACTTAGGAAATGATAAACTTAATATATGCTCCGGAATCTTATTGTAAAAACGTTTACAGTTCCCCATAAAAGAGTTGTTTACCTTTGTTAAACGAAATCGTGGTACCATGAGTTTGGACTTAGCTCTAAGGTTAATATTGGTTTTTGATTCCTAGCACATAATAAATAGTATCGCATGTGACCACCAGATGGCATTGTATCGTATAGAATATTGGTGAGAAATAGATGGCGCTATTCATAATTGCATAATGTTAAATTACAATATCAGTTTAATTCGAAGGAAAGGTTTACAACCAAATTTTTTTTTTTGTAGATCTTTAAAATAATTATTCACACTTATATTATAATTTTAAGTCGTCGTTCCTTCGTCGTCGGATATTCCTACGGCTAACACTATGGTTAACTTTTCTTGTATTTTTGTCGATTAACCGTCAACATGAGCAAATGTGATAGATGCAATAAAGTGATCACCAAATAGAACCCTGGTATGGAGTGCAGTAAATGCGAGAAGATAGTACATGGGACCACTCAATGTTCTGGACTTACTAGCAAACAGTTGTCTGCCCTACGTGCAGTAGATAACCTAGATGTGTCAAGAGTATCGTCTAAATACATCTAAGATTTAGATTTAGATTTATTTTATAGTAAACTTTACATTATTATATACAATATATTGTATTACAAGAATCGTTACAAATAGTAATAAATGTTACATTTCAAAAAATTACAAATATCCAGTACTAGTTTTGTACTACGTTATTTTAACATAGTCAATGTAGTTATGTGAAATAATGTAGGAACATATTAAATAATAATTATGTCAATATAATGATTGTATGCATAAAGTTTATGTAATTTATTCATTTCTGTAAAATAATATCTATCCGTAATAATCTATAAATTACAACATATATTACAAGACCATGTCCCTATATTCTTCAGTGGAATAATACGCATTATCCAACAAAAAGTCTTTCAGTCGACGATCAAATGTTTCATCATTAGCCGGGCCGATTACGCGCGGATTTTTTTCAGTGAGTGCTAACCGTCGCGGTACAACCCTCAGTCGTCCTGTGGAGCGGGTGTTATAACGGCTTTCATGCCTTTCAAAGTTGAGTAAATTTTTTCGTATGAATGTGATTATTCCATATAAATACAACGAATACATGGTCATTATCCTGTGTCTCACAAATAAGTCCCTACAAGAGACTCTTCGTGTTACTCCGGCAAGTATCCTCATTGCTCGTTTCTGAATAATGAATACCCTGTCAGAATCAGTGGAGTCACCCCATAGAATGGTACCATACGACATTATGGAGTGGAAATATGCAAAATATGTCGTAGTATGGAATCTGTAACGACAGGTTTTAATTTTTTTTAGTGCATAAGTCGCACTACTTAGTCTACCACACACTGAATTTATATGACGCTTCCACGTTAAATTTTTATCCAGAATGAATCCTAAGAACTTACTGTGGTCAGTTATGGGAATTGGACTATCCAAACACGTTGGCCTCGGGATTGATCTACCAGAGAACAATATTAAACTAGATTTAGCAGCATTCAGTATGAGACCATTGCAAGTGAACCATTTCATCAGACTCATATATACATTTCCTACTTTTATATTGAGTTCGTCGTAAGTTCAGGCGCACACAATTACAGTGGTATCATCAGCGAACAAAACCAATAAGCCATCAGTGATATGGGACGGTAGGTCATTAATAAACGTCAGGAAGAGGGTTTTCCCAATGAAGATCCTTGAGGAATTCCAAGGTTCACGTCACCTCCACTACTGCGTAGTTTTTTCCCACCTGATATTACTTCAACTCTGAATTCGGCGTGATAAAAATGATTTCAAAAGATCGAATGTTTTGCTTCGCATACCATAGTGACATAGTTTCTCCAAGAGTAATTCGTGACTGATTACATCAAACGCTTTTGACAGGTCACACATCATTCCTGCTACTTTGCACTTACCATCCAACCCCGTAATTATTGACTCCACCACCCTCTGTGCAGCCGCTGTGGTGGACCGATACTTACGATAGGCATATTGGTTGTTTGCCACAAGATCATTGTATTCTGAATGTGACATTAGGTGAGAGGAAATAATCGACTCAATTATCTTTGAAATATTAGGTACAATAGTTATAGGTCTATAATTATCAACTCTGCTCATCTCACCTTTGCCCTTGTACACAAGACATACACGCGTGCTGTATAGGACTTTTGGATACACTCCCGTGCAGAACATCTCATTGACGAGTTGTACCAGTAGAGTTGATATGACTGGCCAGGCAATTATAAGTACATTTACTGATATGTCATATATGTCCTGTGTAGCGGGAGCCTTATTCACTAGGTGTTACAAACATTTGTTGAGTGTGTCTTTTGTAACACTAGGCAGTGTGCAAGTGGGTGGTTGTTTGCTGTAAGGGTCGCTCCTTTATCATTCCTGAGGCAGATGATGATTTTAACTCGGGTCAATTCTGACGTGTTTTATGTTATTATTCATACAATATGACTTAAATTCTCGTGCGAAGAAAGGTGGGCCGTAATCTGTCACGAGTTGGGATGGTTAACCGAATTGTGAAAAAATGTTCCTAAATACAGCTATTGTCGACCGTGTGTCGGTATTTCGCATTTCAATCGCCTCGATCCATTTAGAGTGAGCGTCTACCATAATTAAGAAGCGTTTGCCGGCGCAGTCGGCGAAGTCCGCGTGCAGACGCTGCCAAGGGTGCAGTGGGAACTCCCACGGGTGCAGCGGAGCGCGCGGCGGCGCGTCGCACACCGCGCGGCAAGCTTCACAAGTCCGACATAACTCTTCCAAATCTCTGTCCAGACTTGGCCAATACACGTAATTTCGAGATGGACTTTTCATTTTACTAACGCCTAAGTGTCCTTCGTGGATCTCAGCTAAGATTTGTTTCCGAAGGGTGGTCGGTACCACTATCCTATATTTATAAATTATACAGCCTAATTCTATAAATAATTCCTGCTTTCTTATGAAGTATGGTTTTTCGTCATCGCAATTCGTGCCCGACGGCCAACCGAATTGTATGTAACCCGTTACTTTACTTAACAATGTATCTATTTTTCCGTTTCTTTAGCAATATCTTTAAAATTAATAGGTAAAATATCTTCAACTAAATTTATGTAACCTAAGTCGTCTCCGGAGCGTCCCTTTGAATTTTGGTTGTAGAATTACTCCTTGCCGTATTAACTCTATTAGTTGATTCGTTTGTTGCGGTGGCATTCTAGGAGTCCCAACTGACGCTTCCGAACTTGAAGATCCTGGAGGCGGGGAAAGATAGTCGTTAGTGACCTTGTAAATAAACACCCCTGGTTCGGGTGTCTCTACTTCTACACGTCCAGGATGTGAGTACATGCCTGGACTACTGAATGCATTAAAGACTGTGTTCTCACAATTAGATCCGGTTTCCTTAAGTAGCTTAGATTTATACGAACCCTTCTTTCCGAAAGATTCTGAAAATCTGTAGACGGTCTGAGAACATCGATTGCTGTGCTGGCTAGTGCCCCTGATTGGGCGTCTGATTCCGCTTCGCCGGCCTCATCCTGGCTCATGAAATGCTCCTCGTTATCGCTTGAGATTAATGTGGACTCTCTCAATGATGACCTCTTGTCCTCCTTGCAATTTCTTTCCCATATCTACCCAGATCTGTCCAGGGACTATGGTGGAAGTCGAAGGGGCTGATGTAGATGGACCCGCCACCGGGTCGTGGACTGCGGCGTCATCGACCATTCTGTCAAGATTTTCCTCCCATTTCTCTTTCTCGACGTTCTTCTTTGCCGATCTGAAGACTTTCTGATCAAGAGTGGAAGGACGAGTTTTTTCATGATTCCCGATAAGGTGTGTTGTTATCGCAGTATAAGGTCGAGATTCCTCCGATATAGGACATTGCCCATAAGCATGTGTTAAATCGAGTTTTGTGAACAAAGTGCCACCACTAAGATTTGCAAATAATTCTTCGATGCGCGGTAACTCGGCAGTTTCGGGTTAATTGTGATTTTATAGTCACCACAGATGCGTATGTCTCCGTTTCGCTTAACAACAGGAACGATCGGTGTACCATAATCAGAATAATCAACACGGTAGAACGAGCCATCGGCCTCGAGCCGCGCGACCTCGCATTCCACCCGAGCGCGCAGCGACAGCGGCACGGCTCGCGCGCGGACATATACCGGGCTATCATCCGTGAGCTGTAGACGAATGGTTTGTTTACATGTACCTTGATGATTATTTCATGGAGACTTATATTATTTATTTCGAGTGCCCGTAACCATTCCCTACCCAGCAATGGTCGCGCTCCATTCTTAATTATATATAAAGGTAATGACCTCGCCTCGACACCATTTAAATAGACATCTTCCGCGATATAACCGAGTGATTCAATTCGTGAACCCGAGTAAGAACGTAAACTTAAATTATCTGATTTGATACATTTATTTGAGAATAACCTTCTATACATTTCCTCACTTATCGCAGAGATGCGACTGCCCGTGTCCATTTCACATGTAACTTCCTGTCCTTCTATTAAAAGTTTAATAAAGTACGGTTTGTTACCTTGAGCAGTCACCTGAATGTTGAACATGTCGTCCGATCCGTCACTCATATAATTATGTCGTTTGTCGCCTCGACCGCGACCATCCCGCACTTGTTTACACATCACTTTTAGATGCCCTCTTTGATGGTACTCATCGCAGTTGTAATGTGCGTATTTACAACGCTGTGCGCGATGCGTCTTGCCGCAACGCCAGCAAGTCGGGCCGCGGTGCTGGCTACCGGAGCCCGCGCCGCTGCCGCCGGCCGTCGCCTGTCGCCCCGTCCCGCGCGTGGCGCATGGCGTCGTTTGCCAGTCCCGACACAAACTGATCTCTTAGATTTTCTTCGAGTGTTGAACAGGTTTTACATTTGGCAAAGTTGCAGGTAGCCGCGAGATGTTTTAATGCTTGTAGGTATTTCATAAGTGTCTCATCGGGCGCTGCCGACGTAAACTAAAAATGTTGCGGAAGCTAAAAAACGCTGCGGTTCTAGATGTTCCTTTACCAAGGTCACCAATTGACCGTATGTTTTATCTTCCGGTAAGTCCGGCGAACACAAATCGCACATAAGCGAATACTTTGCATCACTAACTACCGTTATAAGCATAGGCACTTTCAAATCGTATTTTATTTCGTTAAGTAAAATATACTGACTTACACGGCGAATGTAAGCTGGCCACTGTATTGAGCTAATGTATATATATATATAATAACTGGCTCTGTGGCCGAACGGTTACCATGCCGGACTGCCACGCAGAGGTCCCAGGTTCGATTCCCGGACCGGGAGAAATGTTTGTATGGGCTACATTTATTTCTCTCGTGACTTTGGGTGTAATTTGTGATTGTCTATGTGTGTGTCCATGGCACTCGCGACACAGGGTTTCCCTAGTGCGGGGCTATGTTGAGTGTGTGCGTGTGTGCGTAATATTAAACGGTTCAATTTTCCCGATAGGCATTTTATATACAATGTTAGGCACACGCGGTTACAAGAGAGAAAAAAGAATCTATGGTAATAATCATATCCTCAGCGCCGGTGCACCACGTCAATGAAACACGAGAGTTAGCAGTTGTCTGGTTTATTATAAAAAGTGCAAATTACCCTACTCCAATTATAAAAGCCGATGGTTGTTCCAGGAACAATGCATACATGAAATAGAACAGAAAAACTTGGCCTCCTTCATTGAAATCACTAATATACCTCTTGAAGAAAACCAAAAGCCCATGGAAATAGTAAAAAAACTGGCAAACCATATTAACACATCTGCAGACGAGGTCGAATGTGCTATGAGACGCTCTGGTAGGAACGATAAACCAGGTGTCATAATAACGAAACTCAAAAGTGAAAAATTCCAAGAAAAATGACTCGAGTTATACAAAAGTATGGGTAAGAACGAAAATTCCAAAATTAGAGTGCGAGACCTTCTCCCCAGTGCTCAAATGCCAGTAGCAAATAACCCAATCTACCTTAATGAAGCTCTAACACCGTTCAATAAGAGATTGTTATGGAATACGAAACAGGATCTCAAAGATAATTTCAAATACATATGGTGTAAGAAAGGATTGATACGCGTACGTAAAGAGGGAGTAAACGAGAAGAGTATCATAATAAGAAGCCTAGAAGATATCAAAAAACTACAATAATCTACTTTAAGTCTCTACACCGTAATTTTACTTAAATAATATTCAATTAGCACCATATTTAATAGTTAACAATGGAAGAATCTGTAATAAGTGATGATATAATCACGAAATTTTTGACTGTCCTAACCTACATTGCTTTGTAAACAATATTCCTAGTAACAATATTAACCTCTTGTGCGTGCATGTTAACATCAAATCAATGACAAAAAAAATCTCTTCCTTTGAGCAAGTGGTCTATTCTTGTAAATCTATCCTAGACATAGTAGTAATTACTGAGGCGAATATACGGACAACATAAGCTGTTTGTATCACTTGCAAGGCTATGACATGTACAGTGCACTACGAAAAACAATAACAGGTGGTGGGTAATCATTGTATTTGTAAATAAAAAACACAAAACGCGAAAATCAACACAAATACTCAATCTTTTGAATGTCTACAAGGAGTAATTACAACAAAAAACAACTATTCTATTCATTTGTGTGCTGTCTATCGTCCACCAAGTAATAGCAGGCACTTGTTTGTTGAGGAAATACACAAATTGCTTCACAATGTTAATGAATGTAATTTCCTCGTCGACACCAACATCGATTTGAAACTGGATTCTCCTATAAAACATAAATATAGCACAGAGATATATAACTCGGGCCTCGTATGCGGGATCACAGATTTCACTAGATTGGATTTTTAAAAAAATAAACTCAGTAAAACGTGTTTTGATCACATTTTTGCAAGATCCCACTCACAAGACCTGTACACCGCGGCACTAGGAACATTACTGGCGGATCATCGTATGATCGCTATTGCTTGTATAGGAACCACCAATACAGGTGATTACAAATTTAAATTAGTTTGTAACATAAAAAAATTATCTCAACTATTAAATAACATTGAATGGGAATCTACAAATAATTTAGAATGTCCAATTAAAATTTACAATTATATACACAGTTATATTAAAAAATGTTACAAAGAATCGGAAAGATGGTAATGGTCAACCAAAACACAAGTGGTATAAGTGCTAACTGGTTAAGCAAAAGAATTACAAATGCGTTTAAGCGTAGAGATAAATTGTATAACGACTTGCTCAAAGACTGCAATAGTAAACTACTAAAGGAATATAACCGTGCCAGAAATTTTGCCAATATAACAATACAAAAAAATAAGAATAAAATAATTAGAAATGAAAGAAACAATAATTTAGGAAACTCAAGAGCTCTTTGGCACTTACTTAATAAAATAACTGGTAGGACTGGTCAGACACTCAGTAGACTTAATTCTTTTAGTAAATGCTACGCAAATCCAGTTGACATTGCTAATCAGTTTGCCCATGTTTTCGAAAACAGTGTTAAATCGATCATACCTACTTGTAAAGACAAAATTCTGGATAAAAGTAAACACACTAACTGTGCAAATGTGACTATGAGGTTTCAAAGGCAAATAGTGATAGAATTTCTATAATCATTAAATACGTTAGTAGCGAAAAAGCTCCAGGTTGTGATGGTATACGTGCATATGACGTAAAAAACTTGTGTAATAGGATTTCACAATCTATCGCCAGATTTATTAACCTCAGTGTTGCGTCTGGAAAATATTGAGTTGAAAACAGGCATAGTATTTTTGCCACGGAGATATAATTATGTTACCTACTATATAATATTCAATAAGTTTACAATTTTTTAAATTGTGTAGATGACGACTGCGCAATGTGCGACAAATCTGTATTGTTTGTTGCATTGACTTACAATTATAAGGACGTCGGGTCCGCGCTAAAAAGTGTCCGAACTTATAGGGCGTTAAAATCGTATACAGAGCGTCATTCACGCTCTAGTCTTCGTTTGTTCGACTGACAGCGAAGCAAGCAAAATTAGACAGTACTGCGATGACGTTACACTTTAAATTCAACGTTTTAGCTTTTTCATATTCCTTGACATGTCACTACGTTTAAATAGGTTGATTTGGGACATTTTTTTCGTGGTTTTTGTATTAGACCCGTCGTCCATTTATTTGTAAGTCAATGGTTTGTTGTTTTTGTTTTGTTATTTGTAAATTGAAGAGTGTAATAATAATAAATAAATAAAAAAGTATTTGAATATTATCCGTTTTCGCCACATCCCACCTGCTACTAAACAGTAGGGTTGAGTGTAGGAACGGGATGGCGGAATCGGCCGGTGCTCCATCGAGTAGTGTGCAAGAGTCCGAAAGGCTAGACGAGTAAATTACTTACATAAAGTGATTGTACTACATTGTTGAGGAACACGTATGATCAGTTACGGAAAATATAGTAATATTTCTTATCAACTTGGTATTATTTCACGTCCACGAAGAGCGCTGCAACACAACTGAGATATTTTTAAAGTCAGAATCACATACCACATAGTGGTCAGAATGATATATTCTATCTTGTCCACACCTTCAGATACCATGAAGCGAGATTAAAAAAAATCTTACAATCATGATTAATCTGCTAAGTTGCAACAATTTCAAAACGTACCTCGTGTCCTGCCTTGCTTAAGTGCTTCACAAATCCTGCTCCCAAAATGTTCATACTGCGTATAGGATATGGAAACACGATCAATATTTTATATGCATCAGCATAACTGATTAAAATTAACGTAAACAAATAATACACCGTGGTAAAACACACAGATGCTATCAACGCCATGATGATATAAGAAATACTGGCCTTATAAAAAAAAACCCCAAGGTTAGATGTCCATTTATCTATCAGGCCAAAGTCTATCCAACCGCGACGTTACTAACAAAACGACAATCGCAAATTGCTGTGAGAAGCGCTGTGCTACGTCCAACATAACGCATATTGATCAAACATAAAACGCGCGATAGTCAGTATCCATACAAAACAAATCGCTCGAACTTCCAAAAATCGGTTAATCGAAAAATAATCTTTATTTCATAGGTAAGCGAATTACACTTGAGATCATCATACTGATTGCCACTTCTGAGCTCACATAAAAAGCAATAGACGTAATCAACCAAAATTTTTAGTAACAGTAGACCTTATCGAGTTCTTAGGTTTTTGCGATTGTTACACATAGGAAATGAAACTATTTTTGCGGATTTAAATAGCGTATATTTGTTTTTTCAAACAAACCGACGTTTCAGGCCCTTTACAGGTCCCATGGTCACGATTGACTGAGGTGGTATAGTCTTCAACCAGTTATGTCTAATATTAATGCAAACCACCCTATTTTTTCACTATAGTTACAATAGTTATTAATTAAATACCTTTTCGAGCTCAAAAGAGGTGCCTAAGGGCAACCTGTGGACTGAAACAGGCCGACAGTTGAAGAAACTATTTTCGAGAACTAAAAATTTTGACCTTGCCTTCATTATATATCTATGAAACAGCCTTATTTAAACGACGACACCCACAACTTTTTCCTGTAGTTACAAGAGCACATACTGATTAAATTGTACTGCTCATCCGTAGGATTTGCTCTTTGTAAATATACATTTGAATACATTTATCATTACAATAATTAATTTAAACATCTTAGATTGAGAATACCTGCAAGAGCTAATGCTAGGTCGATATATAAAATGTCCTGTAAGGAGTCAAGTTGACAGATCGTTATATTGCTCTTAATTTTTAACTTAATTTTTTATCACGTTAGCAGCGACATGAGATGCAACAAGAAATATAAAATAGGTAGTAAATAATAATATTAATATCAAATTGTATACAGCCAACCTGATGTCAGAATGACAGCAAATATTTTAACTGTAGGTAGCAAATGTAGCAGGAGAAATTAGTAACAAATAAAAACACGTATGGTAGGTACACGATATACATTTTTCAAACAGGTTTAATGTCGTATGTAAAAAAAAATTCTAAATTATAAAACCAGTGTCCCAGCCTCGATCGTAGTAAAATGAACCGTTTTCTTCTTCTTAACGCGCCATCTCCTACCGGAGGTCGGCTATCATTAGGGCTATCTTTACTTTAGACACAGCTGCCGGAACAAGGATCTTGTGCTCAGGTTTGCAAGGGTTGTAACCCTAACAACCCGTGAACAGGTTCACGGCAATGAAATGGGAAACTTCCGGTCCACAAAATTTATTAAAGAAGTAAAGTTTAAAGAAAGGCTGTAACAATATAAAGGTAAATGTAAAAAAACAGGTATAACAGTATAAAACACTCCCTACACTTTATTATTAAGGCACTTACCCCTAAATGGGTCGAGAAACTGAATTACAGAAATAGATATATGAAGGGTGTAGACTTATAAATTATTACACATGATTAGCTTATTAACAGCTCTGACTGTTGTGGCGGTCGAGCTGGGAGTGACCGTGGTACGAAAACGAAATGAGAAAGTGAAGGAAGATGGAACAATTCAAATTTAAAATTTAAATACAAGTAAAATAAAAAAAATGATAAGATACAAAAGGAGAGAGGCGATACAAAGAGGTGAGATGACGGTGTAAGGAGGCCCCACCGTCTCAGGTTGAACCATGTCCGGAGATTGTTAAGCCACGAAGTACGCCTTCTTCCAGGTGGTCTCTTCCTTGCATAATTAATTGGAGCAGGTCGTATTTATCATTACGCATTATATGTTAGCAGTGTATGTGTGTATGTCTTTTGACAGTATTCAAGACCTCTAATTTCTTATTCACCATCTGCAATACTCTTTCACTGGACACTATTCGTCCAGGATATTTTTAAAATTCTTCTTTAGACCCACATTTCAAAGGCTCCTTTAAAGGTGTAACTTGTAGTATACAATTTCATTCGTATACATGCACGCACGCACACACACACAGGCACGCACAAATACACAGACACACGTAATTTATTTAAAAGTGAGTTACTGCCTTACTTTAACCGAATAATTAATTTGTATTTTTGTTCATTAACTTCTCCAATGTTTTATTGAAGAATCGATACCCGAAGTTTTGGCCTGGTTTCCTATATTACAAGCTTTTACTTACTTTAGGTACCAGTCTCTTACAAACATAATGTTAATATATCTGACTGTGTATTTTATATTTTGAATCTAATGTTACTATTATGCTTGTGAACTAATAAAAATTATGATTATTGTATTATTACGTTATTTCCAAGCGGTTGTTCATACATTTAGGTTATAACCGTATTAGTGCGGGAAAAATTTGTATTCGAACTGAGGTAGTTAATACAGACTCTTAACAATAAAACTGTAATTAAATAAGATATAAAAAACCGCCTATATGGGGTTGTAGATCTCGTTTCTCTAATTCAAAATATGTTAATCACTCAATTTCGCTTACAATGTCGATTACGTCGTTTATGGTAAGGACAGTAAGTAGGTATTGTCCGTACATTTATTTACCTACAATGTTGAATAATGAGCATAAAATCATAAATCATTTGTTTACGTAATTGTATACAGAGTTATCACCATATTCTGCCTACACGTTCATGATTTGTTTTGGTACTTTTGCGTTATCATCTTTTTATGATAATAAAGATTTATTATTTCTTACCACTATTTGATATTGGGCATGTAAATTGAACATTTTGTATATTTTAACGTTCGTAACAGATAGTGTCGATAACAATTAGAATACGACCATTTTGATAACAAAAGTTTTTGTTATTCGGTGTTAGGTTTGTCGAACAATCATTTATAAATGTAAATAAACAAGTAACCTTGTATAATATACCTATACTTTTTAATAAGTGTGCAAACCTTTTCAATTATATTTCTTTTGGTAATTTATTCTAATCTTTGAATCGAACAATGGTTTTAAAACTATTTTAATAGCTAATAATCCAGCCAATATAAGAGTAGCAAGATCAAGGTACATGTTCTGGTACCAGGGTGTACCCTGGTACCAGAAAACTATATGTATGTTTAGCCGCTCATGCGATACATGCAGCCGTAGACGCATACCACACCTAGAGGTGCCGAAGATGATTTTATACCGATTTATCGGATATCGAAGTTATAACAGGTAAAAGAACTAATACTAATTGCTATTTCGGTAATTACTCTAGCAAACCATAAAGCTTTTAATGCCTGGGTCTGTCATTAAAAAAAATACTACTTCAAAAATACGTCACGACAATCGTGTCTGTTATTGTTTGGGCTGGTGATTTCGGTGTTTATTTATTGAAAACATACCGTAAGTAGCATTTTTTAAGTTTACCCTGAATAAAAATGTTTATAAACTATACTTTAAGGAGTAATGTCATGGTAAACGTTAGAACCACTCAAACGGAATATTATCATATTTACCCAAGTACATCAAAAATTTCATTAGTGCTTTTAAGTGCAGGATTTGCGGTGTATTACTGCATTTTATTTGAGATGTTTTTGTTGTAGTAGTAGAGGGTATTTATTTAACAATGCAGAATAATAATTTTTATTTATAAAAACTTGTATTTAAACTGAATCCTTTTCTAATTTGCGAAACCAAATAGCCGCCATTTTGCGGTAGGATGAGCGCACCGCGTGAGCGGATACAGTAAAACGTGCAATTTATTTGCCCGGCTTATTGTACAAATTCCGTCATTTTCAGACTCTGCCATTTAAAGAATCGGCCGTTTCCAGAATTTGCAAATCATCGATAAAAGGCTTGAAATGTCTATTTTTATGGCAAAGTTTTACATAAAAAGAGTCAGCAAGAACGTAGAATTAATGTTTAGAAATTTCTTACCACAAAATCCGTTTTCAAATTGTTTTTATTTCCCAAATACATACACTTACAAATGCTCTTTTTAGTTATATTTCTTTTCAGAAGTTATACTCGTCTTTGAACAAAACAATCGTTTTAAAACTATTTTAATAGCTATTAATCCAGCCAATATAAGGGCAGCAAGATCAAGGTACATTTTCTGGTACCAAGGTACATACAGTGCTGGTGAGCGCAGGTGTGGCGCCCCTTTAGTTTTGATAACATGCTCAACCCAGTGCACCAGTTCCTTGCCTGGAGACACTGGTCGATCGTGGTATATTAGGGATAACTCCTTCACTTTCGCTGCATACCTGAAACACAAAAAACTATTTCTCAAAGATCCAGTGCATTCATTTTTTGTAACAATAATTGTCATGTACTTTTTTGAATTTTTATATTATCCACGGATAGATTCATACCGGGGATTGCTAGTGATTTCCACAATAGCTGCTTTTAGATCATCAGCTATGGTATAGGAGAGGTCGACTCGCTTTGCGAAACCTTTATTTACGGCTCTGTCGACATTGTTAAATTGATCTGCAAATACTGGTATACCGATGATCGGCACTCCAAAATGAATAGTCTCAGTAGTTGACAGCAGGCCTCCGTGGGTTACAAACAGAATCGTTTTTGGATGAGCTGCAAAACAATGTAAGTTTTATCGTCAGGTATTAGTGAGACAATTATCACTTTAGAAAAAGATGATTTCACGTGTCGTACCCAAAATGCTGGGCTGAGGTGCCCATTTTATGATGTGAACATTTCTGGGTAAATCCGGAAGTATTTCTTCAAATTTCCAAAGGACGGTATATTTCAGTGTTCCAAACATTTTCAATAAATCTTTCTTTAATTTTTCCGGTAAATCTTTACTTTTTAAGTTAGAGCCCATGCTGAAGTATATAATGCCATGTTTCTCGTTATCGAAGATTTTTTTCAAATCCTGAAAATTGATAATTCTTATACTCGTCAAATAAAATTATTTATTTATTTTTAATGCACAGGTTATGATGGCGATATAAGAATGCATCTAGAACTTTAATACTGCCTATATACCTAATGTCCTATCATTAAGGATATTAAAATAACGGTTACCTATCAGTAGTTCGAAATGACATGTTCCAGAAATAACGTTTGGTCGAAATTTCACAACCTCGAAAGTAATTTTGAGAGGAAAAGTTTTTTTTTAAAACCCTAACTTTACCTAACCTAACCGAACCTAATCGTGTCTTGCGATAAACATTCAACATATCCTAAAATAACAACTGTTTCGTTATATTTCGGTTTTTGGTGTAATGAAAATTCGAACAAACGTTATTACGGACAAAAAAATTTTTGACTTTGTGATAGGTTAACTAAAATAACTATTTTTTAATTTTAAAAGAATTGTTGTAATTTTTATTATCTCTCGAAGGTTTATTGTCGACATTCGAGGACATTGTATTTGCACTTTCTTGAAGTAATGCAGTTTTATTTAATCTAGGTGGAGTTGATCAGCATTGACGTGCCCGAGTGAAGATTTTTTTTATGATTATATTAGGATGACGCTTTACGGAAACAGAAATTTCTAATATATGCACGTTGAGAGTGAATATTTTAAAATTTTTAAAACTATTCTGTAACCGGCAACTGTCTCTTTCTTCCAGCCGCATATAGCCATGTAATTAATAATTTGTAACAAAACAAAAATGTAACACTGCAGTGTGTATTTTTAGTCTTATAAACTTATTTGCTGTAAGGATTCTTCTAACTTCAAACCATTGATGTCATCGTTACATTTAGTGGATGACTCTGTTGGTGATAGCGGGAGTTCTAATACTGTTTTTCTGTTCTAAGAGGTTCTTTCTATGAGAACCTATTCTGAATGTGTTTAATAAACATTTACAAAAAAGAAATATGTTCCTACCTCCGGAAGAGGTTTAACATCGGGGTCAATATGATATCCACCTATTGGCTTATAGCTTTGAGGCAATCTTGTTGCTTGTCCCAGCGAAACATGTGAATTGCCCAACATCAGAGACGCGTTGAATCTTACATCATGAAATGAGGGTAACGATTTTCCTCTTATAGCCACTGCTGGGCCGAATACTGCTTGATATAGTTCCTCTTCTTTGGGCACAAAAAACCTGCAACATTAAGTACTTATAAGCAATAAATACAAGAAAATAAAGTTATAGTAAATAGATTCAACGTTAACTTGACCGCCAAGTTGTGTCAGTAATAAAGAATGAAGTCGCGCAAGTCATATTGAAAAAATCACTAAGTTGGTAATATAGTGACCGTTATGATTTTTAATTCAACACTCCAAGTCATTGACTTACAAATAAATGGACCACGGGTCTAATACAAAAACCACGAAAAAATTGTCCCAAGTCAACCTATTTAAACGTAGTGACATGTCAAGGAATATGAAAAAGCTAAAACGTTGAATTTAAATTGTAATGTCATCGCAGTACTGTCTAATTTTGCTTGCTTCGCTGTCAGTCGAACAAACGAAGACTAGAGCGTGAATGACGCTCTGTATACGATTTTAACGCCCTATAAGTTCGGACACTTTTTAGCGCGGATCCGACGTCCATATAATTGTAAGTCAATGCTCCAAGTAATTAATTCTGAATCTTCCAATTAGTAAATACACAATAACTCACAAATCCAAGTAAACACTTCTGTAAATTTGTTTCCATAGTTCTTGGACCCGTTGCGTGAAGGTGAACGGCGGTATGTTCCCCGTCTTAAAATCGGGATTGTAAGCTGGATTTAAGTTTTCATCGATCAACTTTGTGACCATCCAGTGAGGTTCCACTGTTGAAAACCATATCAACGGGCAATCGAACACCGCTGATAATCTGAAAGAAAATATGCTGATGTCAAATTGAATCGAGATCAGTTGATCTTGAATAGGATATAACTGCAAATTAGACAGCTCAAACGTCTGAATCGAACATTGGCTACTAATGAGATTTCTTTCGTTTTCTTCAACATGAACAAAAAAATAAAAACAATCAAAACATTATTAACTTATTTTTTGTTGCATTTATAATCTGTTCTGCGTAGGTGTTAGTCCTTCACGCGATCGAACCAAAAATTAAATTAAATTTCTATTCATGTTAGTCAGTTTTATTAATCCAAAACATAGGTAGGAAATGAAACTATTTTTCCGAATTTAAATCGCGTATATTTGTTTTTTGAAATATATACATACCAACGTTTTCGGCCCTTTACAGGTCCCATCACGGTTGACCGTATGAAAAATTTCCTATGTGTAACAATCGCGAAAATCTAAGAACTCGATACGGTACAATGGTATTAATAAAACTGACTAACATGATAAATAGATGAATATTTGATCAGCTATTGCGGTCTATGGAGAATATAACGTCGCAGGATGTTATATTGATTGTCAATGGTATAACATGATTATCAATGGTATAACGCTCAAAAGAATTAAAGTACATGATTAAACTACAAACAAAAATCAACAAAATTAATTAAATAAGATCATACATTAACCACATCTTGCAATCTGTAGCGGTCATCTATAATGTATTTTCTTTTAATTACATATTAATCTTAACCTTACCCGCTAGCCACTTCCCAGAACAGCCATTCCACTATGACAGCATCAAATTTTTGCGAAGAATCCATTACAATTTTCTGTACATTGTCATTTGTAAAAGTTCTGTTCCCTACGTTTGTCATTAAGTGAAATAAGTTGTCCATACTGTCCATATCTACTTTTTTTTCAAATATCGCTTTTATATTAATCAAGTTTTCTGTAAGGTAAAATACATTACACAATTGTATTTTCACGTTTTAACTACAGTAAGAACGTACTTCTGGCCGAGGCACTTGACTGTGGGTGGACTGTATTATAGCGCTTGTATTCTATTGTATTATTTTGTTTATAATTGTAATTTGTTTGTCAGCTTGGTACTGTGGGAACGTAGCCTTGGCAACAGTATAGTGAGAGGTACTATTTATTATTAAACGAGGAATAAAATCACATTTGAAGATTTATTGTGAGCTTTCCGTTAGAAGGCTCGACAAGAAACCCCAGATGTTCCTTTCAAAACAACCCTCCTTTTTTTATCCAGTTCAAATAATATAATCTATCCAGCCTGCGCTACAGTACTAACTCTCCTAAAGTGATACCAAAGTTCTCGTATATTCTATCTTTCAGAAGGCCGTATGTATGAGAATTCAATGATGAATGAAGGAATGGATGATAGTACAACACTGAACGCTTAATCCCGATATACTAAATAAAAATCATAGAAATGAGAGATGTCAAAATAAGTAACTAATTATTTGAGCGTAACGAAGTAATTGCTTCTTTTTAAGTCCCGACGCAAAAAGAGGAGACTTGTAAGTTTAAATGCTACGTCTGTAAATCTGCATGTCTCTTTGTGACGTCGTAACTACCAAATGGACTGATCTCAAAGCGGTTTTCTTTATTTGGAGGCTAATTGAATTGGGCTGGTACTTATTTATATTTGATGAACATCTATTCAGCTATTTAAAGATCATCAGCTCTTTTCTTATTAAGTGTATCTCAGTCATTGAATGAATATAGGTTTTATTTCCACTTATCCAATCGATTTCAAATTTGGTATACTATGGAAAATCGATAACCGTACGATAATATAACCTTGGTAATGGTAACTTTGATTTCGCGAGAAGAATAGCATGAGTGGGGTTACGTCAAAAATGTTTATTGCTTCATTAGATACAGAAAAATATAACCCACATCTTACTACAATGTAAGTCGATAGAGTAACATTGTAGAGAGTATTTGATGCTGCAATGAGTCGATTATTTCTGTCGCCGGGAACCAACCCTAAATTTGCTGCCTTTTTCTTTATTTTGACCATTATAAAAGTTGTTCGTTTGGGCAGTCTCGGCTCAATTGTGTTTTTATGTTCACCTGCCATCGCCACCTTTGTGTTGTATAGGATATCATTTTCACAAATATTGTAAAAATAAGTAAAAAAAACTAATCTGCTTCGCTCGCCGCCGCCCCCATTGCTATGCCACCGGGGCTATGGCCCCCTCTGCATCCCCCACATTACGCCACCGGCTGCAATCAGGACAGCCTGCAGACTATCTAATTCACCAGCTACTTTCAGTAGAGCTATCGCGTTTGCGTTGACTATTACTTTATTAAACCTTTTAAGTACACTGTTTTGTATTGGGGTTTTTAAAATTTTAATATTCGTTCTGACACAACGAGCAGAATTTGATACCATTATAGGATGCGTAAAACAGGCAGAGCACTACACGGTAGTGTTAAAATTTTATACAAAGTTTGCTTGTTGAGTTACGTCTTTGAAGTAGTTTATAAACAATAACAACACAAACCGTGAAATAACTCCAAGTTGCGACTAACGTCTACCACAGTCAGGTTTGGATGCATACTGTTTTTCGGAAATGGTGTGATATAAGTCACCTGAAATAAATGTGATAATCCTGAGATAGGCAGAGTACAAAAAAAACCGATCTCAAAAGTATTTTTCTTCAAATTGAAATGAGACCACAACTGAAGTAAACTCTTTCCAACAAAAAGAGAATCATCAAAATCGGTTCACAAATGCCGAACATACAAACACGAGTTATCGCGTAACGTGTATATACAAAAAAAAAACACACGAATTGAGAACGTCGTCCTTTTTTTGAAGTCGATTAAAAAGTACAAATAAGTATTTTTATTAAAATTAACAATCGAGAATAACAACGCATTACTGAATATTACTTCAGTAATTTGAAATATTCTTTGTTTTTTTTATGGATTCATCGCATTAAGTATAAGTACTTCGCAAAGCTAAAGAAAACATGTCAGTTAACAGAATAGAAAGTCATATAAGATGTATTCAAATTATATAGCACAAATTAAAGCTCTGATGATTTTTTAAACCAAAAGGACATACCGTTATGGATACCGAATTATGTTTCTTGACTAACGTAAGATTTTGTACAGTCGTAGAGAAAAGTGACACAACACTTACCTGATGTCCAGCTGCCAATAACCATCGCAGAAAGCCGTCACCTAGAATCGCATGACTCTTTCCTGGGAGTGCGAACACCAGTAAGATACTAGAAGCATCGATTACCGATAGCGATGCGAGTATCGCAGTTAACAATAACTTTACTTGCATTGTATTAAACTAAAAAAAAATCAACTATAAGTTTAAAATTTTCATATTTAAAGCATCGGGACCGGACACAGTAGTTAGTTACCTTGTAATCGATGTTAATAACTATTTACCAACACTAGAATTCAGCATTACATACACTGGCTAAAATATTATTTGGCAAAATCGATTTTTATCAGTGAGTTAGGAACAGTCACTCACGCGCACAGCAAACAAAATCTAAAAATACAACTCCGTCATATAAGATTGATATAGGTTGGTCAATTTGCAGTGGTTCAATATTTTTTTTAGGTAGATGACGACGCGACTTAACGACCTATAATAAATGTTTGTTCCGCGAAAATCAGTAGCTCAGAAGTCATGTTCCTTATTGTATTTTTTTAATAATGACACTTCTTTTAAAATGTACTACTTTACTCACCGAACCCATTCTAGTTTTAATTATATTTTGTTTATATATTTTTTTCTAGTTTTAATTATATATTTTTTTAAATTATATTTGGTATGGACTTAGAGTGTCTAGCATGCAATGAGTCAAATCGGCTACCACAATTTGCTAATGGCCTTGGACGTAGTGATTGAGATTACATAAAATTGTAGTGGTGTAACTATGGCAACTTCTTTAGTAATAAATATCACGTGCACCTCTCACAAAAATACTTCAACGATAACAAAATTCAGAATCTGTACCATAATATAATCGTTATTTCAAAAACTGAACTATATTTTGTTAAACATTAGGCCAATTCAAATTGATGGACATGAATTGTATGTGCGTGTGTAACACAGATGATTTGGGAACAAAAACAGACAGCAAAAATGTATTAAAATATTATTTAAAAATAAACAAAAATCATTTTACAATAAAATTAAAAAGTCGTAAAAAGCTTTTATCAGTTTGTGAAAACTTGGTATTTTCAAAAAATTGTATTGTTTTATATATGTACATACGATTTCTAAGGTATTGACTTACACTGGCCTAATGATGATTTTAAATGGGCAGGTACGACGCCTCTACCGACAAAAAATTGGTACTTACAATGGAATTGGGCCAGTATGTATAAGTTCTGAAATAAACCGTGATTAATGTTGGGTTATATAAAATTTTCCATTTTAATAAATTCGTATTTTACAGAAGAATAAATAGTTTTACGGACATTTTTCCTATATTTTTCCATATTTGACAGTTGATATCGGTCAAAAGTTGAAGAACGTAAACAATGGAGGTGTAGCGGGCTGTATCAATGGGTTAAAGGTTGGGTGCTAACAACGAGTGAGCAAGGCCAAGCAAATGTACTTACAGTTTAATAATTTTATTACAAAACACGTATATCGCTATCAAAACAAAACAGCAAAGTTAAATCACGAAATGGTGCCAAAAACAATGACGTGTAAATATAGAATTTAAGTATAAAACTAAGGTCGCGTACTGGACGCCAGCGGGACGGTGCGGTGGCGACAGCGGTGCATGTGACGGCTCGCCCGACTTAATAAAAATACATAATTGCCATAAGCCGTTATCGACGGCATCAGCGGCGCGGGCGGCGGAGTGGCGGCGGAACACGAAGATTGCGCTCTACTCGAGAGGTGCATGCGCGTTCAAACAGTAGTAGTGTCGTTCCGTTGTTTACCTACAGGCTTATCGTTAACTTTAGAGATGTCGTTGGAGGAAATCATTTCAGCAGTATTAGAAAGACCACAAATCGACCCCTCCCACGTAAAGTATCGTATGTCAAAATTGCCAAGTTTACCGGGGAGCCTTTTAAAGTTCTGAATTCGCTGAAATAAACATAACACGTGACTTTAGATTTCTCACTTTTATTCGGCAAATCTCGTTACACACGTTGAGTATCATAAAATCCTAAATATCGGTTAAATGATCTATTAGATGATCACTCTAGGTGAGTAACAAGCTTTGCCGAATGAAACGGAGAACTTTAAAACACTCCCCTGTAAACTTGGCAATTTCGACATACGATACTTTACGTAGGAGGCGTCGAAATATGGAACAGTAAACACATCATCCATTGAAATAGAAGGATTATTAATCTATTATGGGTGGAAATAAAAAACGAATTGAACATAGATAACATGAACATAGATAGATAATGTTTTTATTATATTTAAGTAGGTAAATCACTTTAGCGTATTAATAATATGCAAAATATTTTTTGAGTTTTATTAAATTACACCTTATGAGTGTACTTCATTATTATTGTAGACAAAATATTCTGTGAATTTTTCGCGAATGTATAGTGCTCGATTCAACGTCCGCGTCGTTCTATTGTTTTTTGTGGATTTGTTTGTTTTCAATGTATAAAACCCATGTATAAAAGTGTAGTCATTCTGGCATAATCACAAAATTTCTCCAGACTTTGTCTTTTATCTTCGTAATTTTGATGAAACTCGCCTTTTTGCTGTCTTTTTATATAATATCAAGTGACGGGACGAACAAGTCGTGCGCCTGATGTTAAGCTACACGCCTTTCCATAACAGTTGCAGTGCCACTCAGAGCTTAAAATTGCAAAGATTTGAGGGGCATTACCGCTGCGCCCGTCACCTTGAGACATAAGTTGGCAAGTCCCATGTGCCTGTAATTTCACCAGCGCGTTTACCCTTCAAAACTGGAACACAGTAATGCGGACATTACTGCTTGGCGGCAGAAACAGGTAAGGTGGCAGCACTACCTTGGACGAACTCTTTCACAAAGAGCTCTACTGCTCTACTGTCTTTGTTTGTAGTACAGGTTTATGTCTTCTTTTGCCCATAACAACTCATACCGAATAAAGGAACTACTATAGAAAGGTCACGTCGCAGTGTCGACATCGCACGCACACTCGTCACGTCATTTCGCCGCTCCAAACTTAGCGATCTGGCCGCTGGCATCCAGAACGGTCACTTTCACCGCTCCGCCGCCCGCGCCGCCACTCGTGCCGCTGTCGCCACCGGCGTCCAGTTTGTGGCCTAAAACTTAAAGAGACTATAAAATATATACAAAAGATATTTGTAGCGACTGCTGCGATTGGCTACAGGAGCCATTTACAAAAAAATATTTTTTTTACCTTTGATTCTTTTTTCTTTGTTGTGCAATCATTTTAAAACTCGTTTTACTTTAACTTGCTTTTAATTGTACAAATTTATTTTGTAATTCACGCAAAATAAAACTTCAAAGATATTAAATGTGAGCCTTCGAATTATATTTTTCCAATTTTTTTTAATTTCTGGAAAAATTTCCACTTTTAAATTTTTCGGAAAATTACCCAACCATAACCATAATAAGAACATACTACTGTATCGCTACTAATCTATATTGCTTGTAATCTATAGGTTATATAAATCAATTGAGGCACACAAGTGGTACAAAGTTACCAAATGTGTCACAAACGTGATAGCAAACGTAATTCGTGATTAAGTAATTTATTGCGAGTAACGTAATGAAAAATTAAAAATATAATATTTAATGACACATGACAACTAACATAGAGTGTTGTTTTGTCACTAAATCATATACGAAAGACATGCCTACATAATAAGAGGCCAAAACTAATTTTGAAACAAAATATTAATACAAATGCAACAATTGAGATAACACTAATTGTCATGTGCGATATTACAAAATCGTTGCAAATCGCCATGCCGTCGCAATATCAAACCATGATTTTTCAATCAGCCTTGTTGGATGGAGTGCCTTAGGTAAAGCGAAGCTTATTACTACCGCATACCGGGCGTACACTCGAGTTTTTGACAGAGATTGCTTCCTCTGCACATAAGATGAAACTTAGATTAGATATCGCGATTGTTACATACGTAGCAAATGAAAGTATGTTTTTACAAACTAACATTTCAGGCCCTTTACAGGTCAGTCAGCCGTGACCATGGGGCCAGAATATTGAATTTGGAAATAATATCCGCCTCCAGCTCTCATCTGCGGACTTGCCTATAAATAATTCGCATTTAGAAAAATTGAACTCTAGGCTGATGTGATGGAATTTATAAGAAACTGTATAGGTCGTCATGAACCGTCTCATTATGACTTTGGGCCATATATTACCATATATGGCCCATAGTTATCCAGGTACCATAATTTTAATTTTTAAATTAATTTAGATATGAATGGATGGCCAAAGAAAAGATCGCCGGACCAAGAGGTTCGCCCTGTTGACAGCCGGCGTTGAATTTAAAAGATGGTTTTTGTAAATTAATTTTGATTTTTCACTTAATGTGGACACGTTCACCTTCAGCTACACTTCCCCTTCGTTATGCATTCAATAAGTTCTCTTGACGTGGACGGTGCTTCGCAGCCTCCTGTGAAACCAAGCCCCGATTGAGACGGCTAAAAACTATTCATGAGCACAGAGGCGCAGATTTTTGATACTGTACGACGAATAGTGCAGCGTAATCCAATGGGCCTGTTGCCTGGCCGAGAGAGAGTGCTACAGTAATGCGAGCGCCTCTGGGGATGCGCTTGATGATGGTACTATTGTATTCTGGTGTGCTTAGCAAGATATTCAAAGAAAGAGTTTATATGCAAACTGCATGCTTTTGAGAGACTAACAAAGGGAGGGGTTGATATATGAGAGGAATCTCTACGATTTAAGATCCACACAGCAAATTTGTATGCCATAATGGCCGCATTTAGAGATACCGGATTGTACGGCATAGTTGTTTCTTGCACAGGATCACGATGTGAAGAAGTGCGGCAATGACTGACTCAATGTAAAAACCTCTGGGGGAATTGTCCATGTACCAACACCCTCTACTTATAACCAGGGCCATCCCACTGATATGGTTCCAAATTTTTGGTACATAATATTCAAAGCTGATATTCCATACAAGAAAACTGACTGGAAACATATTGTACAATCTTCCTCTTTCTTTGCATAAGCAGTGTCTGTGCAGGATGATATACGGATGTGGAATGCAAAGTTACTAGTTGAATTACTATGACCCCCCCAACTCATGGTCGGAGAAGATAAACGATGTGTTAAAGAACCCGAATATACACGGGCAGTTCTCCTATCCAACTCTTCTTCGCTAGCATCTGTCTTTTTCTTGATTATAGTGTCAATGACAGCAGTTAATCCCTGGTCACCCTTAACCCAGGATCAGGGACAAAGATTGCGTGAAACTATACGATTCCATTTCCTGCAATGGTTGTCTTTTAACTCTGATTCTGGTAGGGGCTCCTATATAAGGAGGTACTGGTCCACTTGATAAATTCCAATCAAGTGTAGAGTCCCTTTCTGTCATGAAAGATATTAACCCTTTCATACATGTTGAGTGGAATCATGTCCTATATTACCATGCCAGCACATCAAGAACGGACCCAAATATGTAGATGACATATTTGGGTCTGTTTTTGTTGCGCTGGCATGGTAGTCCCTTCTAATGGTAATTCCCATCTCTCCTCCCTTAGCCATTGAGCCAATTGTGTAAGACACATACCATCCATGATGTGAGATTGTGTAAGGGTCTGGTCGTCGAGAAAATATGTACTCCATCATGGTTACCTTTATAGACATTATGTCACGAAGTACTTCTTTCTCTGAGCTCCATTCTTTACAGGCAATAGTGCTTCAGAATTTATTGACTATTGTCTCTTGCTTGCCTACATTAGACAATGTTAAAGGTTTAGACATCAGTTTTGTATTGCAAGGTTTGATTGTTAAAAAATCCCCCACTAGTCTTTTCTTATCCTCTTCCAACTCTGGTGTAATGAGTGGCATTAACACCTGCTGCCCGCACCTCCGTCCAGGCGGAAACGTCACGCATGTGCAAGTCAGCCCCTGCACGTGCATACGCCGCTGTAGCTGCTTGTACCAACCGACCCGCCACTTCGAAACTCGAGTGGCGGCAATGGGCTAAGAGCAAAAACAATCCCCGTGAGCCTGACTCTGAAGTTGCAAAACCACTGAGGTAGACGGACCGGTGCAGCAATAAGGACGGCTCCACAAAGATGATGAAGAGGAAGCCCACCAGCCGTAACCAGCGTGGCACAGCACCGACAGGACCGAACTTCCTGCTGCGTCCGGCTATACCGACGACGACGACTACTGTACCTGCCACGAGGAGATAGTGGAGTACATCAGACAAAGCCAAATACACCCTGAGGGTCCCGGCACAACGTAATTTTCAATTCGTTTGTGGTGAGAGTGTCGACCGAACATCTATCGACTTTATTAAAGAAGAGTTTTTGCCGAAGGGTGTCATATATCGGCGATTGCGCGACCGGTTACCTAAAGATAAAGATAAAGATAAATTTATTTCTGTATAAAATATTAACCTAAATACATACATAAATCTTATTAAATAACCTATTGCTTACATATATGCGCCAAATTGTCGCAAACAATGAAATTATTTTATGTTTACCTTACTTTAATTAAGGTTAGTAGTGCAAATTAATCTAGGTGATACCTAAACTAAGTAAAATTGTTTACTTGTGTCTTAGGTATCTAAATTGGTGATTATAGCATAACGGTTAGTCAACATATTTTGTTCAATAACAATAAATTACAATAATACATAAATCTTAATTATAATAGCTGGCGTCTTAATCATATTTATATTACTTAAAAACTGATATAAAATTTTCAGTGTCATTGTAGTTAATTCTTTTTAACCAGTCTTGTACAGTTATTTTACATTGAAACTTATTCATAGGATATATAGATAGAGAACGATTTATTTTATTAGTTGATATTAGGAATGATTGTGGAACATTGTTCGGAGTCACACGTAAACGATTCATATTCTAAGGAAGTGTCTAGGCCATTTACAAAATCGTTTGTTACATTACCCATCCTGTGCTATATTGTCTTGCTGTGCGGCGGTCTAGGCACCCTCATAATCTATGGAATTTAAATATCTGGCTTCAGCACTTTTTCTCGCTGGGCACAGCGCATCTCCCGTCCTATGTTGGCTTGGTTTGTTGTACCTCTGACAAGAAGCACATTTAGGTGGATCCTGCAGTTTCGAGCAATCTTTAATTGTATGACCTACGCAACCGCAGTGGCCACAAGTAGAGTCGGTGTCTCTACAGTATTTTGCGGAATGTCCATACTGCTGACATTTGTAACATCTAGTTACGATCGTGAAGTCCCTAACGGGGCAGGATGTCCAGTTTATAAACACGCGCTCCTGTTGGATTACCATTTTTCTCGTATCTGCAGGTACTTCCAATATCCGGGCGGCGTCGTGGTGAATGTTCACTGATCCCACGGCGCCGACTCAACCGGCGAGAGGGAAACCCGGGGGGGTTTTAGTGGGGTAGGCC